AAAAATTTTTTAATCTATTTAAAATATTATCTCCTCTAGCCCTTGCTAGATAGCTATTTGTTAGAGCATTGTCCCCATACACTAAAGTTGTGGGTGATTCCTGGGCAGGGCACATACAAGAATCAACCAATGAATACATAAACAAGTGGAACAACACATTGATTTTTCTATCTCTCTCCCCCTCTCCCTTCCTCTCTCTCTCAAAAAAAAGTAATTGAAGGGATATCAACTTTTCTTTTAATTAGATGGGAGGACCCTTTTCATAATGTATACATATATCAAATAATCACTGTGTACACTTGAAATTACAGTTTTGTCATTTATGCCTCAATAAAACTGAAAAAGAAAAGTTTAGAAGGAATATTAAGTTCTGTTTTATATGAAAATGCTGCATATTGAATCAAATTAAGTTCCTTAACTTTTCAGGAACTCTCAAAATAGACATCCTATGTGAAGGTATACATTCTGAATCAAAGTGAATGAGGAACTAGTTCATAATCTAGTGGGATGCAGTGTGATTTTTTTAAAGAACAATGTTGCCACCTAGGGGACAAATAGATTTCATATCTCTTCAAAGAGGACTGTTGGGCCAGGAAGACTTAACATTCTAAGGCTTATGGGGGAAAATAAGGTGGTTCTGTGGAATATGGAAGAATTAAGGCAGGTGTGGAGGCCCATGAACTTAAAATTAAGGGGAGTGGTAATACATAAATGAAGAAAATTAATTATGCTGGGTAATAAAATTCACTGTATACATTTAAAAGAGGCTAATTACATTTAGATTATAAAAAGGTAGTCAAAACATATATTTTAAAGAAAACAAAATTCTATCCACCTGATTAGCAGAAGCATACATTGGTAGGTTGCAGGGGTTTTTTTTTTCTTCTCATAAATTGTTTTGTCTTTGTTTTTGACAAAATGATGATAACACATTGCAGCAAATTTAGCTGATAAAAAAAGTCCTCGCCCCACCACACACACAAACACCTAGAGATAGCCATTGAATCCTATATAATAAAAGGGTAATATGAAAATTGACCCTAACAGCAGAGCAACTGGGAATGACTGGTCACTATGACACACACTGACCATGAGGGGTCAGATGCTCAATGCAGGAGCTGCCCCCTGGTGGTCAGTGTGCTCCCACAGAGGGAGCTCTGCTCAGCCACAAGCCAGGCTGATGGCTGCCAGTATAGTGGTGGTGGTGGGACCCTCTCCCGCCTCCTCAGCAGCACTAAGGATGTCCGACTGCAGCTAGGCCTGCTCCACGCTGGCAAGTGGACATCCCCTGAGGGCTCCCGGGCTGCCAGAGGGATGTCTGACTGCCAGCTTAGGCCCAATCCCCTGGGGAGCGGGCCTAAGCCAGCAGGTGGCCATCCCCTGAGGGGTCCCAGACTGCCACTGGGCCTCTAGTATTTTCATAAAAATGCAATGTAGAAATACACACACACACACACACACTAATAAAAGACAAAGATTCTAATTAACCATACCTTCGCTATGCCCCAAGCCATGCCCACCAGCCAATCAGAGTGACTCTATGCAAATTAACCCAACCAAGATGGCGGCCGGCAGCCACAGAGCTGGAGCAAGCAGGAGGCTTGGTTGCCTGGGCGATGGAGGAAGCCAAGCTTCCCGCCTACCCTGAGTCAGTTGTGGCCTCCGCTCATGGCAACAAAGTTTCAATTATAGAAGACAAATAAATCCCAGATAACTGCTTCCAGCCAGCCTCCACTGGGAGCTTGGGTAGCTGGGGGCCATGGCCAGCCTGCAAACAGCCATCAGCCCCTCACCCAGGCTGGCCACACCCTCATGGGTTAGGGGTGCCCGCTGGGGGGCTTAGCTAGACTGAAAATGGCCCTTAGCCCCTCACCCAGACTGGCCAGTTACCCCAGCAGGACCCCCACCCTGATCCGGGACACCCTTCATGGCAAACCAGCTTGACCCCACCTGTGCATCAGGCCTCTGTCCTATATAATAAAAGGTTAATATGCAAATTGACCCTAACAGCAGAACCACTGGGAATGACTGGTCACTATGACACACACTGACCAATCAGGGGGCAGAT